TACTGTGAGATTCCATAACTACTAAGCTTTTGAAGCCAAACACTTCAGCGAGAGAGAATTACAGCTAGCCTTAAATTTTTCTTTGTTATTTCCAGATGCCAGGTTGTGCTTTTAACCTTCTATCAACAAAATAGGTTGTAATCCCCAAGGACTGGCCCAAGACATTTTGCTGCCTGAACCAGAGCAGGAAGTGCAGTACTCACCACCCATATCAAAATCATAGGTCCAAAGCCAGCCAAGATATTGAGGCACATGCAGCAGAAAATCCCACAAGAAATGGCAGTATAAATACAACATTTATTGTTGTATTGACAGAGCACCTTTCCCCTTACCAGCCTGCCTGTTCACTGAAGTTATCAAGTGGACCATTCCTGGTGGTTCTGCATGGGCCTACAGCTCATTTGGATCTACTGACCCTTCAGTGGCTCCATCTTTATGGAACTTCCTGATTGTTGATAAGAACAGAAGGAGAGCCATGCTGGATCAAACCAATGGTCCAGTGTTGTATGCTTCAAGTATCCACAACCACAAAGTGCTGAGAATTACCATGTAGTGTTTCAGTTCCCATACTAAAACTAGCAAAATTGCAATGTCTGAATTTCTGTGGTCCTGGAGTCAAGTCTACACCTACAGAAATGACAGAAAACTGAAAAACCATTCACAAAGGGAGCTCTGCAAAATGTGTTTTAAATTTATCAGTGGCACGTCATGCTCATATGCACATATCAGAACCAGGGAAGATTCATAGCTCAAGACAGAGAACCTGCTTGTGACTCAACAAAAGTATTTTTCTCCATCACATATATTTTCAGACCATCAAAGCTATTTCATAATAAGAGCTGATTGTAAGACTCTCCCATAGTGCTTTGTACCATATGAAATAATTGTGCCATTCTGCGGAAGATGCCCAATAAGGCAGTACAGTCAGCCCTCCATATTTGTGGGTGTTAGGGGTGCAAGACCCCCGCAAAAGTGGAAAAACCAAGAATATTTTTCGCACCTCCCAGACCTTAACACTTATTACTGTTGACCATACATGTACTAGTACCTGCATTACAATTCCCTCTTTCACAATCTGAATAACCTTTAGTTTAAAGCAAGCTCTGATACACTGGAGCATGGCTTACTCTGGGGGAGCTTGTCCTGCAGCACATCATGAGCCTCTGGTCCTGACTTAAGGGCCTGCTCCACCCTTACACACCATTCCAGGCCAGCCGCAGCAGCTGCCAGGAAAGCAAGCGTTCCCTGCATGGCTGTCCAAGTGGTAAGCAGTAGACGGCAGCAGGCCACAAAACTCCAAAAAGATCCTATTGATTATTGATGGGAAATGCATAAATAATCAAATCCATGGGAGCTAAACCCATGAAAGTTGAGGTTCAGCTTATATTCTATCCAAAGAACGGCCTAAACTGCTGGATGTGCAATGTTTCCAAAATAACATACCTTTGTGATACTGACATATATAAGAAAAAGGAAGAAGGTACCCCACAGCTTGAAATCTAAGCCATCCGATGACTGAGAAATTAATACAAGATGGGCTACAACAATTGATAATGTTTACAATGGAGTGCCTCAAACCTAGGTAAACAGCTGAGAAAAACCTGACTCTGTTTGGTGCATTGAAAATCAAACAAGTCAACAAAGGAAAAACTCCACCAGCAGCTAACTTTGCCTACCTTTGATGCCTGTGCCCTGTTCCAAGCCCACAAATACAGAAGTGTGAAGACTGACTCTTTTTATTTTCAAATCGGTGGTCTAATATGTACCAAAGAAAGGACATTGGTGCTCATGTCTTCAAGTGCATAATCATGAAGGAATTTCAGACAATGAATCCAACTCAAAGATCTTTTGTTAGTAAAATAAAACTAAAAGTGGTGTAGATGCCTGTTCACCATGTGGACTCCCACATACATTTAAATGCATTTGAATGCATTTAAAATGTATGAGTAATGCCAGATAACAGAAGGCTTGGCTAAGATGTCAAAAAAGAGCAGTCCTAGCATTGTAACGGCCTGCCACTAACAACACCAAAATAAAGGGCAGCTGTTGCGTGTGTGGGCAATACAATGACAGCATCACAACAACATGGTTCACATAAGCATTTTTTGTGTCTTGGTGCACAGATCCACGGAAATTTAGGCTGATAAAGGCCTATAACTCCTATTGTGCCTCAGCCAGTATAGGCCTTTTTTATGTATATACTTTACGTAAGTAAAGCAGTTATGAAATGTGGTAGTTGTGCATAGGCCACTTAAGTAGCATTGGTTACAAATTTTGTGAATTTGCTTGTTACACATAATTCTGACTGTTTCACCCATACTACTTGTATAAGTAGTAAATCATGAAGTCTTACCTCTTAGATTTCTGCTAATACAATCTAAAGTTTTGATCCTGAATATTCAAGAAAAGCATCTGATGCAATTGTCCTGGAAAATATGCAATTCAGCATGCAGCTGAGAATATTTCACAAAAGAATGCTTTCCCACATGGCTTCCCACTTTGCTCACAAAAAGTTAGTATTTCAACAGTTTAGTAGATTCTTACTTTCTAATATACTGATATTTAAAAATATAAGAAAGCATTTAGACAATAATTTCCATAATTTGCAGTGATGAAGCTCCTAGAGGAGTATTTTCTTTTTTCCTGCTTTTTTTCTAAACATGTTGATCAATGCAAAAAGGAGAAATTGGATCCAGTAAATACCCCTTTGCTTTTGACAGGTGAATTCTGCAAACATGGTCTATCTACAACTGAATAAGTTGTGAAGTGTTGGTCCTTTGATTCTTGAGATTCCAGCTTAGAAATGATAAAACATGGCCTAGGGTAATAAGAAAGCAGCTACACGCCTTTGGATAACCTACTGACATTATATACTACAAGATTTACAGGCTTGTAAATAACCACTTACATGGCTTCTTAAGGAAAGTAACAATCATGTGCAAATTACAAGCCAGGGAAAGCCTTCTAAAATTGGGAATTAGTTTACGTTTACTTGAGGCAGTGAATGAATCAGAAATGACTAAACAATTACTAAATATGTATTGCAAGCAAAGGGCATAGGAAAATCTTCTTGGACTAGTTACTTTTGTGGACCTAACCAACAACACTAATACAATATTAAACAATGACTTCACACTTAGGTTCCTAATATGGCATAGAAACAGCATTAATATATGTTAATCAAATCATAATTCATTTGATTTTCTGGAGTCTGTCAGCAAAAGATTTTACACTTCTTTGCTTCCCACTGAAAATTCAAGCTGTACATTAACATTACTTGATTTTTAAATGAACTGATTCGCTGATACTACATTACATCATAACATGACCTGACTTAGAAGAAATACATTCTAGTTGGAATCTTTGGGATAATTTGCACAGTACCATCACTTATTACCCCTATACAAATACTTGCAGTCAGATACAAGACCAATTTATTTAAAAAGAACAACAGGCAAAGCCAACAAAACAGATAGAAAACGGTTGCTGACTAGTCTAGGCAACATGGCATCAGCGGCATCCAACCCCCAATGATTCAAGTCACACATCATTAATCACAGTGAGGGTTAATTGCATCACCTTTACAAAGAATCTTTATTGTTTTGGCAGCAAAGCTTTGCTTGATTCTACTACAACTCTCACCAATGAATTTATGCACTTGGTTAAAACAAAGTGTTGATTTTGCCCGATGCGTGAACTCTCTGGGTGGGATTGTGAGAATCCTGGAGATGCTTTGTCAGAAAACAGATGGATTACCACAAAAACAAGAGATTGTTTAATGCTTTGATCCTCTTTGTTAACCAAGCAAAATTTATCTAAGCGATCTACCTCATCTAGCTAACGATGTTTCTCATCAATTCTATCCATCTTCAGAAACTATATAAATAGAAATATAAAATGCACATATTTTTGTTGCATTTTGTTTGATACTGAGAATAAAGCTTTAACATATCAAGCAGTTCTGGGATCAATCAATTATATTAGTTCAGAGGATTTAGAACACAGTGGGCACAATCCTGAGGGAATAACATTTCCTCAAGTGCCATTGAAATAATTCTTCTTTCCAAGAGATAAGCCTTCAGTATATAGTGCCACAGCAGTGGGTACCATAATAACCCAGTGGTTTCAACTCCCAGAGTTACAACCCAGACTAATCAGGAGAAATGCATTTTGGTTGACCACAAAAGAACAACACTTTGATTTATCAGTAAGACTCTGCCCATCTCCAAGTATAGAAGCTGGAGGGAATCTTTAACATTTAAAAGTATGAGTCAAATTTTTTTCCAAAAGATTACTGGCACCACAGAAACTGTCCCCGTGGGTTCCATCCTGCATGCTCTTCAAAACAGCAGTACAACAGACTCATTTCTCATCTAAGTAAGGATATCAAAACTTTCTTTTTATTTTGCCTATTTTGGGAGTTGTTACAGCCTACAAATGGGTTGTGTCTTCTGGACCGCCTTGTTATTTTTCACTAGCTGTCTCTTCCCCACTCCAGAGCTGCTTTCAGCATGAAGAGCAATGCCAGGAGTTGTAGAACAGACTTGTTTCTTCCTGTGTGTGCCTAGACCCTACTGACCTTCTTCATTTGCTTGCTTGTCTCAGCTGTTTGCGCTGAGCCTTTCTAGGCAAGTTCAAGTGCCCACAGACCTCTCCAGTGCCCAATCCTGACTGCAGTGTTCTCTGGCAGAATAACTACAGTTGCACCAAATCTTCCTCTTGCTTGCCATGACTGTCCTCTGCAGGACACACCTCCACCAGCTGACACTCCTTTCCCTCAAGGATGCTCCAGTACAAGTATCTCTGGGTTGAGAGGAAGCCAGAAGGATCAGCTACCATCAGCCATTTCAAACCTAGGCTGAATCCTTGTTATGCTCATTCTTTATAATGTCTCCAATTTCTCTCTCTTTATGTTTAGAATGTAATGAAAAATATACCTAAGCCTATGTGCCATTTTCTGCATACACAAAATAATTAAGTGAAAGATAGGACAGTCCTACCGTATCTTCAGTTTTGTGATTGTTATTCAGCAAATCCGAAAGAAAATCTTCACTGAGGCTCTCTCTCCGAATTAATGTAAATTCACGAAGAAAAACAGCCCCCTGGCTTTGGTCTCCACCAACCTAGAAATGTACAATATATTGTTCATTAAGGTGATAGTTTATTTTTGTAAAATCATAGAAAGAATGAACAATATATGTTTAATATAACACCTGGGAGCTGATTTCATGCTAATGTATTGTGTAACAGATTTCTTAAACCGAGAAGCATTATCCAAGATTAAGAAGAACTTTCACCTTACACTTGGTAAATTGCACATGATGAAACAATATTTAAAGCCATTTCTTTAGAAAATTGTCTTTGCAACAGCAGTTTGGAAAAAGACTTATGCCTGACAAAATTGTACGGTCTTTAGCCAACTGTTGAAAAATGCCATATAACAGTCCTCTTTCAATTAATGAAAAAAATAAATATTAAGTGCTTGTAATCCAAGCAATAGAATACAACTATGTGACATGGCATGCTTCCTTTGATAAAGGAGGCAGCACTTAGCCAGCAAGGCTAGTAGCCACTGATAGCCTCCTCCCTCATGAATCCCTTTTTAAAGCCATTCAGATTGGTGGTCAGCAACTTCCATAGTTTAACTATACACCGTGTTAAGAAGTACTTTCTTTTGTCTGTCCTAAACCTCCCCACAATCAGCTTCACAGGATGACCCTGAGTTCAGGTGTTATGGCAGGGAGAGAAAATGTCTCCCTCTCTACTTTCTCCACACAATCCATAATTTTAAACACCTCTGTCACGTTTCGCTTTACCTGACCTTTTTCTAAGCTGAACAGTCACAATAGTTGTAGCTGCTCCTCATTGGGGAGCTGCTCCAGAACCCTGCTAAGTTTTGTTTTGTTGCCCATCTCTGCACTTTTCCCAACTCAACCACGTCCTTTTTCAGCTAAGGTGACAAGAACTTAACACAATATTGCAAGCACGGTCACATCAAGGATTTGTATAACGAAAGTATGATTTTAGCAGTTTCTATTCTGTTCCTGGGGACTGCAGGTGGCGCAGTGGTTTAAACCGCTGTGCTGCTGGGCTGATTGATCGAAAGGTCACCGATTCGAATCTGCACAACGGGGTGAGTTCCCATTGCTCTGTCCCAGCTCCTGCCAACCTTGCAGTTCGAAAGCATGCAAATGCAAGTAGATAAAAAGGTACCACTTCGGTGGACAGGTAACAGCGGTCCGTGCACCTCGGTGTTTAGTCATGCCGGCCACATGACCACGGAGACTGTCTGCGGATAAACGCTGGCTCCCTCGGCTAGCAAACGGAGATGAGCACCGCCCCCTAGAGTCAGGCATGACTGGACGTAATGTCAAGGGGAAGCCTTTACCTTTACCTTTATTCTGTTCCTAAGGACACCTAGCATTGAGTTTGCCTTCTTCACAGCAGCAGAGCACTGGGCAAACACTTCCACTGCCCCAATATCCCTTTCTTGCTCAGTCACTGCTAGGTCAGATCCCACCAGTCTATACTTGAAGCTGGGGAATATTTGCCCCAACATGCATTACTGCAGTTGCCATTTTGATGCTCATTCTCCCAGATTAGAAAGATCCTTTTGGAGTTTCTTACAGTCCTTTCTAAAACACCCTAAATGGCTTAGTGCCATCAAGAAAATTTGGCCACTTCACTACTTTCTCTTAATTCCAGAACATTCCCACTTGGAGCCACCCCAGAGGAGCAGACATTATGCTTGGGCTGTGATTAGAGAAGGAGCTGTGATCTCTGCAGATATCACAGATCCACAAGGACAAAGCATTCTTTTTCATTCAATTAGTCCTGAAGTCAAGGTACACAAAGTTGGACCGCCCTGGGCTAGCTAGAGGGCCATTTTCCTTGGCAAGCAAACAGAGTATAAATTGAATAACTGTAAGGTTCAGGCCATGGATGACAGGAAGCTAAGCAGAGACACCAGGACCCAGATAATACAGTCAATTAACTATATGGCCAAAGTCCATTCACCAGTCAAATCCAAGTTCTTATCCTGAGCAAACCAAGGTCAAACCAGGAGCACAAAGAGAAGTTAACAAAGCGTAGTCCAGATAGCAAAGCATAACCAAAACAAGCCAGGGGTCAGGAGCCAAGAAAACAGCACGAGGGCAGGAACCCTTTGGAACAGGAACAGGATCAAGGTCCAAGAGCAAGAGCAGGTGGAGGAACAGATGCCGCAGAGAGTTTCAGCACACTGGAGACCAGTGCTGCTGAGGCATCTTCTGGAGGGAAAAGTCACATCTTAATAGCTCTTCCCCCAGGTCTCCTAGGTGGTGTTTATGAAGGCCCTGGCAGCTGCAGCAGAGTCTGGGACCAATCCTGCAACTACCAGTGCTGTTATTCTGGTGTTTGCCAGCAGGAGGAGCCCTGAAACTGCCCAGATCCTGACAGTAACAAACAAGCCAACCAGTAAATGGAAGTATTTCCAGCAAGAGCTAGCATTAGCATTTGGGCAACTGGGCATCCACCTCTGGCATCCTGGCAGGACCCACTGGTACTGGTTCTTCTATCCTACCCTGTCTGTTGGGCACGGAGTTAGAGCTTTTCTACATGATGCTGTTAATCCTCAGTATCTAGTGGTTGTCACAGACTTGAGATCCAAGCTGAACATTAAGAACTTCCTGCTTTTATGCTACATTATCTGCAGGTGGTGCTGTGCTGTAGTAGAAGACAAATAAGCAAAATGTTTTCTCTCACAGCCACAAATCAAAGCTTTTTAGAAACATAGAAACAGAGCAAGTCAGAAGGGGTCTCCTAGGCCATCTAGTCTGACCTCCGGCACCAGCCGGCTCCGCTCACAACATGCCCACCATGTGGACGTCCAGCCTATCCTTGAACACCCACACCAATGGGGCCTCAATGACCTCTGTACATGAAGCACTGGCTGTGTCCTTGTCATCCCTTATTCATGGTCCTTTCTGGATCCTTTGGACAATGACATGTCCCTCCACTTTTGATTTTATTTTGAAAAGGACTTTTTCAGAGTAGGGAAAATGGATTATTACCTGTGAAGGTGAAAGATACGTTCCTGTTTTCCTAATCATGTTATTCCGCTGTAGCACAGTGCCAGTGAGAGGTTCTGTAGTAGAAAATCAGAAAAGGAAGAGGTCTTTGTATAAATTTTGGAATTATTTTCTATATGAGGCTGTTATTCAGCTGAATCTTTTATTCATTTCAGAATTGTGATTCAAACACGGCACAAGGAGTGTTCCCTTTACTATTTTTCTGCTGCATCACCTTAGGCAGTGCTGTGGTGTAGTGAAGATAATGTAATTATTTGAGTTGGGAAATGCAGTTTGTTTTGCTTTCAGAAATAATACTGCATTACCCTACTCTAAAAACATGAATGAAAGAGATGTTTAAAGACAGAAGTGAAAGTGGAGAGTCCAAACCGCATCTCAAGAACCCATAAACAACTGTGCTTAAGGAATGATGAGCACACAATGAATGCATTCTTTGCTGCTTTGCATCTTACAGGTGGCGGGAAATTTGTCATTTAACCTGGTGACAGTGCTCTAGCAGGAGGCTTATATAACCTCTAACATCTCACAGGGTGCTCATCAGGGAAGACACATCCCTGTTCCTTCAAGCACTGTTCAAGCACTGTTTCCTTGCTGGGTCTATGTTTAAGACCTTTTCTCAATGAGGCATTATCATGTTTCCCTAATGGTTGCCTATGGCAATGACATGACCCTCCAGTTTTGCTACTGTTTTTAAACAGTACTTTCTCAATGCAGCAATGGCAGAAGGTTCTGCAGTGAGACCATGCAGAACTTCTTGTGAGGAAAGAAAAAGTTCATATCTCATGGCTCTAAGATGAGATAAAGCCTTCGCTGTTCTTCTTTGAAACAGCGAAGTATCACAAATAGAAACCATAACGAAGATTGGATGGAGGAATGGGTCAGATATCTCCCTTCAGCAAGTAGCATGGTGACCTTCTCTGCTAGGGAGGTTACTATTGTGTATACAGTCCCAAGGGGTGGAAGACTGTTGAATTCTATCCATATTTGCTCTCCACAATGGCAAGAACCCACCGATCTGATGTTATGGCTTCCAATTCAGGAAAGTAGATGGCTTTCAAACCATATATGCACTGGTAGAGTGGGATTGGTTTGTTGCAGCAGTCAATGGCATCAGCTCTTGGTATCCAGCTTTTTCCTGCTGGACTGCTGGAAACCAGGGGGATGGTCCTATTGGGGTGGCTGGGATGGTTGCTGCTGGCCTGCAGGCTGGTGGTATTAGCCCTAACTCAGGAAACAAGATGGGCCCCAAGGCCCCCTACATGCCCTTCATGGCTGCAAGGAATGTAAAGCCCATCCTCCTCACCATAGCCCTGGCCTTCTGGACGCTGTCCATTTTTTCATTGGTCCAGACACTGAAGAGTTCCTCATAGTCAAAAGGCATATCTTCACTCCATGACCCAGCCTCTTATGAAAGGCTTGCTGCCCAGAGCAGGTGTGCCACCAGATGGCTGCCACACCAACAAGGACCCTGGAGTCACAGTCAACATGGTGACGAGTGGTGTTATTCTGATGCCTAGACAGCCTGTGGGCCTTGGCCAGCATCACCCCCACCAGTTGTTCCAAAAGGAAATTGATGAGAGTGCCCATCTTCTCCCACAGGGAGACTTGGTATCTTCCCATGCTAACCTCGTAGTTTGAAATGGAGAGGGACCAGTCCCATCATTGCATACATCTTCCTCATTGTGGTGTCCAAAAGGCATCACTCCCAGTCTGCCAGGGTGCTGTGCTCCCTTTGCACCCAACCATACATTGACTCCACCGTGACAGAATTCAGTTGCAGACGTTGTAGTGGGAATGGGATGCCCCTCTCCTGTACTCAGTACAGGCTCCCCAAATAGTGGGATGTTAGTTGTGGCTGTGCCAGCACCTTCCATGGTTCCTTCATGGAGTGGGGGTACGTCCTCCATATGGATGTTGTAGACTGGGTCCACTGGTGGTTCGGTGAGTTGTTAAGTCTTCTTGGAGAGAACTGCTGGTACATGGGTGAATGCAGCCACATGGTAGATGCCAATGGCAAATGGCATTGGGCCTCTTCCTTGGGCTTGTCCTTGCTC